ATGGTTTTTTTATATTTGAAACTGGGTTTTAACAAAAAATTACAAGAATTCATTGTTTAAATACAATTTAATTAAAGAAACATCATTTTAGGTTAAGGAGTTTTTGAAGTAGAATACCCCAGTATACAGAAAAAAATATTTTAAGTCAAACATCACAAGCTTTTTTTCAGTATGATACAAAGAAAAGAGTATTACCTCTCTTCAGCATCATCAATACTCATCGGATTTGTCCCCAAAATATTGACTTTATTCTTATACAGCGGTAATGCAAGGTTATTTGGAATCTGACCACCTACAGAAATAATACAACCAGTTGCAGCCTATAGAAAAAAACATAATATAGTTAGTGTACACTCATTAAAAACAACAAGGGTTTCTCTAAAACTGTATTTTCAATTTTAAAAAATTGAAAAAAAGTAATAAATATTCTTCAATTTGTTTTAAGAAAATGAGCTTAAGTGGAAAAATGCACTTTATAGGGAACACTTGTCTATTCATCATATGCAATTTCATTAAACCCAGTACTAACAAAAACTGTGGTATAAATATATACTACAGATGGTATATTTGAAAGTGGTAAAATATCAGAATTCGCCTCTTGTTGATATTTATCAAGCACTTTTTCTTGTAATAATTTTTCAAAATACATTTTTGTATAGCCATTAAACGCATTCATCAAAATCAGTACTAACAAATATTGTGGTGTAAATATAATATACCATAGGTGGTATATTTGAAAGTGGTATAATAGTGAAACTCACCTCTTGTTGATATATATCAAGAACTCTTTCTAGTGATAATTCTTCGAAATACAGCCTATCGCATTCATCAAAATCGGTACTAACAGTCTCTGGGTTGTGATTCACAACAATCGTCTTATGTCCCATTTCTCGTAATGAGCGAATACATGAGACAGCACACCAATCAAATTCTACTGAGCTACCTGCAATGCAGCATAAAGATGGGATTAGTATGGTGATATTTATGTGTTTGACGAAAAAAGTGAATATTTCATAAATATTTTTCAATGATAATTGTTCACTTTGTGAATTTATTATTACAAGCTATATGTGATTCACAGTGTGCCGAAAATATTTCCTATTATCAGTATTGTGTACACTTTGGATTTGTTTTGTTTTACAGTTGAGCATGGTACTTATATCAACCTATATATTTTCTGAAAGCTAAGATATAGGCGAATACGGTAGTGCATATGCTGTACAAATGTTTGTCTAAGTGGTCATTTAGCTTTCACAAAATAACAACAGACATTCTACCATTAATAGAAGCAAAAAAAACAACATGTAAAATGGACAACAATATCATTTGAAACAAACATAAGTGAGTACCCGCCTTACAAGAACATAAAATTATATATTTTTTTACCATGAGTACCCAAACCAAATTTTTAGAAATGGTGCAAATTTTATATTATATCTATAGAACTAATTACAAATGGCTCAAAAATCGCCATTTTCATGGGTGTTTGACACATCTTGGGACTTCGGGGACAATAACTGTATCTGGATTTTGTGAACAGCATAAAAAAGCCATGTGGTAAAATCAATGAAATCTGATGAAAAGTGGTACCGTATTACCCCGGGCACGCGCCCCTCCCTGGGCAAGCGCCCACCCCCGTTTTCACAAAAGTTACATGTTGGGGACATCTCCGGTTAAACGCCCAGGGTGATTTTTAGCCAAGAATTAGGTCAACAATAAAGTTGTATTTGTCAAAAACGAACGCGTTTGATTTATTTAAATAGTGTGTTTGTTACGGTAGTTCTCTTTTTGGAGTGTGTGGTGGCCCTGAAAAGGGCCGTTTTGTTTGTGTTTTTACGTAAAAACTCATTGGAAGAGCATCGCCAGGCGATGGACACGGGGCTCTTTGGCAACGACCAAAAACTTATCCGTGTCCAGCCATTGGTTGGCCACGTAGAGGTCAAAAGACGCATTAAGTTTGGCTCTTCCGTTTCACCCCTCCGAAATGTTCTACTTTCGCAGCCTAATCGCAGGTTTTTCGAAAAACGTCGAAAAAACACAAGAATTAGTGAAAATGTTTCTATTTGGGGCGGATTATTGATAGAGGATAATGTCTTTATTACAAAAATGCTGAAAAACCGCGAGTTTTTGCCTTAGTTTTTTATCGGCGAAAAACTGCGAACTCGGCAAATTTGGTTGCACAACTTCCCTCTATCATATACACCCAGCGACATCGATGCAAGC